TAGAAAGTGAAAATATTTCGAAACATTCTTTATTGGTGCTCCACTTGTATGGGTCTTATGATATTATATAGCCTATAAATGCCTTCCTCAATAAATGGGCTATCTAACACTGAAATAATTTTTTAAATCGGCCCGGTAGTTCTTAAGATTAGCGAGTTCAAACAAAAAAACTCTTCAGCTTTATAATATTAGTGTAGATTAGGATCCTATTATTGTGATGAATGAATGTCGAGGAGCAATGACACCACCGGAAATTGTTTAAAATTCTGTCCGCGAAAATTTCTTCTCCAGTTCTGACCCCGTCGTCTTACGTTTCCGTAATGTTCAAACTCCTTTTGTCATTAAACCGAAGTAGTCGAACATCCCAATTCAGCAGCTCATCAATTCCAGAAACCATCACTCTCGCTAAATTAGTCGATAAGAAATAAAGTATTAGAATTTTATTATTTAGAAAAAAAAAATACTAATTATATTTTTTTATTTTATATTTATTGTGTCGCACTGGGTCGCGTTTCCGATCTTATGGTAGGTTCTGCGAAGCACTGCTCTTACTAGGGCTGGTGTTAGTAACGTCCTCAGGTTAGAGCCCCGTGAGCTCTCCTACTCGCCCGGTTACGGTATGACCCCAGGTACCAGTTTAGGTAGGAAAAAATAAATAAATTAAATAATAAAGCATCGTCTAGTTACTGAGTCGTTTAAATTTATTATCTCTTTAAGTAAATAATTTTAATCTATTGAAAAATCTCGAACGTTTGTATTTAAATCGGCAAAGTTTCGAAAAAAAAGGGAAAAGTACACTTTATTATAAGTTAAAGGCTAAAGTGAAGGCGATTAAGTAAAAAAGCAGTCCAGTCAATACACGTGTCTATACTAATATATAAATCTACAGTGCTTTTTACGGATGTTCCGTTATAACTACTGAACCATGCATCTGATTGACTTGAAACTTGGTATCCGTGTAGAAAATACATGTACTTAATGGATAGGTCAATATTTATATGAGTATTGGACTCCCTAATGATAATGACAATAAATAATATGTTAATTTTAAATGCGCAGCGAAGAGGGCGAGTACGGATAGTCTAGGTATAATTGTATTACAGAAGACATAGAAGTGCCAAAACTTGTTTGGGAGAATAATATTATATTTTCGCAGCGAGCGTCCCACAAAAACACACACGTGCCAAATTCAGTTAACGAGCCGTTTCTAAATCATTTATTTTATAATTTAAATTTCAAATCTCCTGTGATAAAAACAGTAAATTACACGAATACTAAATAATTCGGGTAGTCGTTTGTTACAAGTGTCTAATTTTTATCAAATGCAAAGCACAAATTATTTTTATATATTTATAGTATCTTAGGTTTTTTTGAAGTATTGATAAAGTGTGAAAGCGTGCAGTGATCTTCCTGGTTGAGTTTGCCCATCCGTCTTAGTTAAGCGACAAAAGCACTGGGCTATCTTCATCTTACAAAAAAAAGGTTATTGTGACCAGTGTGTGACTAACAATAAAATTTTGAAGATAGCCGTTGATTATCCCTATACATGTTTTCTTCAGTGCCATTGTAATCTCAATAGTGTAAAAACGGACAGTTTCTGTTTTACAAGTGTCGCAATTAACAGTAAAATATCGCAGTGACAATTGTTAGCGGTTAAGCTAGCCCGTTTTTTCTCGTGCGGCGCATTCGACAAGCCATCAAAATAAACCCTCAAACGATGAGACACCGCGTACTGCCGTTTCTGGCACCAGTGTTCCTATCCAAGCTTTGGCGTAGGCGACGACGGGCGAAAGCCATAGAGAAATTTCACGGGGTAAGCAAGATTTGCATGGACTAATACAAAAATTATTGTCTTATATATATACATACATATTTTTTAATGAATGAATTTGACCGAGTTTTAAACTGCGAAGATGCAATCTATAGTATTTTGTTATTTAACAAAATGAAAACATATTTTTTTGTGATTTTGTAAACAAATGGATTAGGAGAGGCCTAAGATCGGGATCAGTTATGTGGATTGGGAGAGGCCTATCTCCAGCAGTAGACGATTGTGGGCTAATGATGATAATGATGAAGCCAAAACCTACAAGCAAAATATTTTGGGATAGTTCAAGAAGGATATGGAAAACCGTTGAACCTATATCCTGTATCTACATATCTACATCGTCGTGCATGTGGCAAGTGATTTAAATGTATACAGACATATCGACTTCACCAAAGAGCAAGATGTAATGCGATAGTCTCGAAAACGAAGCCGGAAAGCCTTAAAAATTAAAATCGGAAGCCAAACCGAGGTTTATTAGCTTGCGTGTAACTTGTGTTGCATGAACCACACTTGTCGATTTCTGTGACCAGGTTCAAGATCTTTGTCTTTCTTTTTTTATTTTCTCTACTGACAGCGTGAGAGGCTTCTCCTTGACGTGTAGGTGAGCTCACGGGGCTCAAACCGGTTGTGTTGCTAACACTGGGCCTAGCAAGAGCAGTGCTTCGCAAATACTACCACCAGATCAGAAATGCGACCCACTGAGAAAATCCGGCAAGAAACTCAGTGGGCTGTGTCTATGGGTTAATTCACTCGTCGAGCCCTTCGTCGGGTTGCCAAGTGACCAGTGCTTCTGGTCCCTAAAAGCACTGCTAATGAATCGGGAGGATCCGTAATGACGTGTCTTTGTCGATGAGGCCACAGATAACTAATATTAGCTGTTAATAGAAACCCAAAGAGTCTTGATGAGAATGCCGCCACCTTGGACGTCAAAGAATATTATTAAAGTCTGCATTTCGTTAACTGGAATGTGTCCCTGACAGATCGTTGTATGGACCCCAGCGAGCATGTGTGTAGTTTATCATCGTTCCAATAGGTTCAAAGACCCATTGCACAACTAAATTGTAAATTATGATGTTTTCTCGATACGGAATTTGTTATCTTATGTGACAAATATTCGTCCTTGTGCCTCTACGTGAGATTTAAGTAAACATGTGTATCAATTTCTTGTGCATTACGCGTAATGTGTATAAAATTGTATATTTTTTTTAGATAAAATGGATAAATGTTTACTTAATTACGTATACCGGACGAAATGTTATAAAATTACTCGTGCACGTAATCTAGGTAAGATTAGTTAACTTATACGAATTATATGTATAAAATGAATAATGAACTTGAAAAGCTTGAGCCAGATCTATTACGCCCAAACTAGATGAGTTTACTAGTTGAATGGCGAAACAAAGGGAATCTTTATTGGTTAATAAGATTCGGTTAAAGCCACACACGCAATCGTGTAATAATTTCCGACAAATAGCCTCTGGTTTCCCCTTATTTTCAATCTACCCTCACCTATGAAAATGTCAAGTTAAATCTCATTTTCCTCTGCTAAATACACAAGTTGGCCCCGAAAGGACCAACGCCCGCATACATCAGGACGTTTACGAGCAAACACGATCCGGATATATAGTAGCCGGTTCAATGAACCCGGTCGAACGGGTGTCTTGTGGAAACGGATAAATGTCGGTGAGGAGTTAACGAGACGTAGGTATTTGTTTGTTTTATTTAGTGGAATTCGCTGGTGGGAGGGTAGTTACAAGATAACATGACGTTCTCCTTACTTGTGTTTCGGTGTCCTAGTTTTATTGATACGCTACGTCCGCTACGGCAAAATAATTTTACATCTTAACTAAACATTTAAAGTCGTCGTGGCCTAAAGGATAAAACGCCCGGTGCATTCGCATCAAGAGATGCAACGGTGTTCGGTTCCCAATTTTTACCAATGAAATACATACTTAACAAATGTTCACGACTGATTTCCATGATGAAGGAATCAATATCATCGTATAAAATCAATGAATTAGATAATGTTCACATGTGTTGTTGTTATTGTATGCTATATATACTTTCTAAGACACAGTATTCCATCCAAATCTTTCCAAAACTTAAATTAGTTCATTTAAATTTAATTTTTTCATTCAAACGCAAGTATGTGTAAGTAGATTTTTTATGGAGCTTGTATTGGCTTTACTAAACAAAAATATTGACTCATCTAGAACGCAATTATAGCCATTCTCTGTGTTTCGTTCGTGTCCTAAATGTCCTTGAACTATTCCTCTACGTTGATCAATCCATTTAAAAGTCCATAAAGGTATGTTTCCAAACAGGGCATTATTATTAATCAGGTTTTATTTGCTATGAAATTCTCAATCATGAGATGTAAGATCAACCAATACATTATCGGCAAAATTGATGTCTCAAAATTGTTGATCTGACGACAAAAATTCGAATGGTGGCAAAAAACCGCAGGGTGCAGGCTCTTTTCAACAGGCCCGCATATAAATTCTTGGACCTTTGTAGTTTGGCAAACACGCTAGTCTATAGAATTTTGTTAAAAATTAATTTACTGTTTTGTGTTGGTACAATTGTCTGTGTACTTAAATAGTTAGCTATGCGGCCGATGCTACGCTATCGGAAGGGAAGATCACGTGGGAGTTTGGTGGGGGGTGGGGGGGCAAAAGATGTGTCAATGTGGATGCAATCCACGTGTACATCGCTCATCTCCCGCCACAATCTCCGGTTTAATCAAAGTTTAATATTACCGTCCTGAACAATTGCGTATCTGTGTTTTGTGGATAGATGTGATAGTGATTGATGATGATTTTTCCTACTCTTCAAAAGTACTTGAATGTAAACATAGTTAGGTACATTATGTGATAGTGCTGCTGGTAAATCTAGTAAGCCTGGCGAGTTGTTGTCACCTTTTTCGGTCGGTCATTTATCCCCCCCTCCCCAACCCTACCCGGCTCGATAGTCCTGCTGGTAAAGCTAGTAAGCCTAGCGAGTTGTTGTCAACTGTTTCGGTCGTCACTTATCCCCCCCCCATCCCTTCCCGGCTCCTCCTCACCTGTCCTCTTTATGTGGCCGGCGACCGTGTTAGTGCTTAGTTCTCAATGACCAAACTTGGCGTACGTAAAGTGATTGTTGATTATTAAAGAACCTGCTGTTCTAACAGAGCGCGTCGGAATCGTCGGCGGGCGCCGGCGGAGGGACCTCTGGCGGCAGCACCAGGGTTTCGTCGAGGTCACGGACTTCGGAGGAACCTCACATCGGTAATTATAATTTTACTTTTTGTCGTATCATTTGTATTTTTTTTTATTGCTTTGTTGTATTTGTTCAATTTGGCCAGACCAGCTTTGAGCCCGGCCCGTTTTATATTAAGTAGTAACATTATTAGATCGAAACCTCGGAGAGACTAAAGATATAATAACGGGTCTTTTAGACCACAACAACCCTTGCCTGCTTGCGAGATGTCCTAAAACTAATAAAAAATTAAAATTGGATGTTACGGGCATATAGTTTCGAGTATAATGGTACCGAGAATAGATTTAACAAAGAAGTGTCCAAACCAAGCCAAGTCTTACATTAATTAGTCGGTAAAGTTACTTAATCAGTCCGCGTTTCTTGACCTTTTGTTTGTCTAATTGTATTTCTTATCTTTCTGGCTTGATTTTGTCCCGTATTAGTCCGTCCTATTTATTCTGACGATAACGCGTACAGCTTTGATAGCTTTGATTGGATGGAATAGTCATTGTTTGAAACTCCTAGCTCTGTATAACATGCCAACTGTACATAGTTGGCATGCTGAAAACCCAACCTGATTGCCTCTTCGGGTATTATTGTTTTTTTTTTATTGCTTATATGGGTGGACGAGCTCACAGCCCACCTGGTGTTAAGTGGTTACTGGAGCCCGTAGACATCCACAACGTAAATGCGTCACCCACCTTGAGATATAAGTTCTAAGGTCTCAAGTATAGTTATAACGGCTGCCCTGCCCTTCAAACCGAAACGCATTACTGCTTCACGACAGAAATAGGCAGGGTGGTGGTACCCACCCGCGCGGACTCATAAGAGGTCCTACCACCGGGTTTCTGGGTCTGTGGTTTTTTACTATGGTTCTGTTTTCTCTATAGGAAAGTACAAGCTACTAAAAACGATTGGTAAGGGTAACTTCGCGAAAGTGAAACTGGCGAAGCACGTTCCCACCGGCAAGGAGGTGGCTATCAAAATTATAGACAAGACGCAGCTCAATCCGGGCTCGCTGCAGAAATTATTCAGAGAGGTACGTAGTTTGAGGGCTATTTGTATTTTTGGAACGAAGTTCCTTATGGGACGATGCGGAGGGGTACACCCTAACCGGGAAAAAACGTCCGTAACGTAAGATTTTTATTAGTAACGCACACAGTGTACGACTTAACTTTGTAATAACGTACAAATTAGTAATGCACACAGTGTACGACTTAACTTTGTAATAACGTACAAAGTATAACATTTTTTTATCATTCATTGCACACGATCTCAGAGCGTTCGTTTGCGCAATACACTAATTCTTATGCAAACAACCGTGAATGAAGTGTACCACAATAAGTTCGCACGTTACCGAATGACCGTGGGTTGTTGTGAAACCTCCCGTTTTATTTTCTTTATACCTCGAATACAACTTAAAATTAATATTTTTATAATAAGGAATTTCGTACCTATCCGGTGTCTCACGACACCACACATCTCTTTTTGTATTCGAAGCTCTGCTGCGTCTGTTGTCTGGTGTACATTGGAAAATCTACAGTTGAGGCTTTGTTGTTATTGCATATTTGCGGTTAATATTAGGGTTTATCATACCCGATCCTGTAGACCGAATGGTAAACAGTCGATGTCGCCCAAAACACGTCATTACGGATCCTCCCGATCCATTAATGGTGCTTTTAGGTATCATAAGCACCTGTCACCGTCCTCGTCGAACCCGTCGATTCCGACGAAGGGCTCGATGAGCGAATTAACCCATAGACACAGCCCACTGAGTTTCTCGCCGGATCTTAGAGGGTCGCGTTTCCGATCCGGTGGTAGATTCTGCGAAGCACTGTTCTTGCTAGGGTCAGTGTTAGCATCACTCCGGTTTGAGCCCCGTGAGCTCACCTACTAGTTAGGTTACGCTGATACAGCCTTTCAAGGCTATCAGCTTAGGTAGGAAAAAAAGGGCTTATTATGTGAACAAGCTCAGGTCTCTGTTGGTGTAAAGTCGTTGCTGAAGCCTTTACCCATCATAGTCTAAATACCGGCTTAACCCACCTTGAAATGGAAGGTCTAAGTCTTAACGAAAGACCGAATAACTATTTCTCAGCAGAATACGTAGGACGTACCTTTGTGAGCTCGCAATATGCTCTGCCACCAGTAAATACCAGTTGGTGACCGCATTGTGTTGTTGTCAGTGGTTCGCTTGACCGCCTTTTGCGACATCTACGCCAAGATGGTTTGGTGGTGGTGACGGCAATTCTAGGTCGATACCGTACAGCCACGCTCAAAACCTTGAGACAGTCTGTACATAATACAATTTAGACGTTCAGTCTCAAGACGAGTAACGGAATTTCACACAGTTAATTCAGTGATCATACAGAGAACTTTTGAAAACGTAATTAATTATATTTGTTCCATGGAACTTGGGTCAAAAAACAAGTTCCTTAACCAAGGTCCATATTAAAAGACCGTCTCTTTGATTTTGTACCTTCTGGTTTTTCTTTTCCAGGTGCGAATAATGAAAATGCTTGATCATCCGAACATTGTGAAGCTCTTCCAAGTTATAGAGACTGAAAAGACACTTTACCTGGTCATGGAATACGCTTCGGGTGGGGAGGTGAGTCGCGTTCATAATAATACGAAGTTTTTTTTAATGTAATTTTTATGGATGAATGGGCTCACCAAGTTTTAAGTAGTTACCGGAGCCCATAGACATTCAACAAAATTGATTCAGTACCTGGAGACATGACTTCTAAGAAGTCGCGGTTTTTGCGCTATGATATTATATCCTTCGTCAAACAGGGCTTGCGGAGAGTACTTGGTTTTAGGCAGCGGCTTGGCTCTGCCCCTGGCATTGCTGACGTCCATGAGCAGCGGTAACCATTCACGATCAGGTGGGCCGTGCGCTCGTCTGCCTGCTTCACTTTGGTAATCGAAATGTATTATTGCTTGAAGGCAGAAAAATTGGGGATTGTGGACCTACTCGCGCGGGCTGACAAGAGATCCCCATTCAATCATTCATAAATATCTGTCTAGTTTTCAAATCGTTTTGGGTCCTAGGTGAAATTTGTCAAGAATTAACGATCATTAACTACGACGTAACTGTTACAGGTGTTCGACTATTTAGTGCTACACGGCCGCATGAAGGAGAAGGAGGCCCGTGCTAAGTTCAGGCAGATAGTTTCTGCCGTCCAGTACTGCCACCAGAAACGGATCATACATAGGGATCTCAAGGTAATAAGGACTATAATAATATTAATCACTTTAAGCTTTAAGCCGCGACTCCGTCCGCGTGGAAGTTACTTTGGCGTAACGCAAAATTTTACCCCCCCCCCCCACTTCATTTACGTAGAAAGTGAAATTATTTTTGTATTATAGAATGTTAAGGAGCTATTGAAGCCCCTATTTTGAAACATTATGTATTGGTGCTCCACTTGTATTGGTCTCACCGTGATGTTATATAGCGTATAGCCTTCCTCAATAAATGGGTTATCTAACACTGAAAGAATTTTTCAAATCGGACCAGTAGTTCCTGAGATTAGCGCGTTCAAACAAACAAAGTCTTCAGTTTTATAATATTAATATAGATAAACTATAGTTTCGATCCTAGTAGCCCTTACGTAAGGTTTTTTGAAAGGAGGCTTATGTTTGGGACCGTTGTAATTTTGATATTTAATGAAACGTAAAAGCGACACTAAAGTGAGATGTACCTACATATATAAAGCCGTTGGACGGAATGAGATAGAATGATTCTAAACGATTCACTTCTTATGTGCGTGAATTGCACGCGTGTCTTTTTTATTTATTGTTCTAAATGTGCTGAAGAAGTCTAGACACAACGATGTGTATACCTTGACAGTTGAGGTCGACCTCAAGTCACGGTTTTATTGTGTAACGTTGTCTCATTGGGTTTTGAGTTTTTGAGTGAGTATCGGAAGACGTAGCGTGAGTAGGCTTCCCACACAAGGAGGACTGACGACCTCTGTTTAAGGTCGCGGGAATCCACTGGAAAGAGGCTGCGCAGGTCCCTTGATTGTGGCGAGTCTTGCTGAACCCTATGGCTGAATAGGTTTCGACTTATTTCCTCCATTATGATCTGTTAAACGTTAAGATATTCGGTAAAGTTCGCTATTGTATTAGTGGTCGCTCGACCTGGGCACATAATCTGGTAATAATTGTATTGATGGTGGTTGAAGGTTCTCGTGGTTACACGTGAGTTTCAAGGGTGAATGGTGATCGTTAGATAGCTGGATGACATTGGTGTGTAAGACTATATAGATCTGCGAAATATAACGTCAATCTTTTGCCTTGGAAAAGGACAGGACAAACAAACAGACAAAGCTCTCGATTCACATTCGTGTATTGTTATTTCAGGCCGAGAATCTTTTATTAGACGGCGAGATGAACATTAAGATTGCCGATTTCGGTTTCTCTAACGAGTTCACGCCGGGAGCGAAGCTGGACACCTTCTGTGGCAGTCCGCCCTATGCAGCCCCTGAACTGTTCCAAGGTTTGTCTATATTAATATACAAGCGGCCCGCTCCGGCTCCGCTCGGGTCTTTAACAAAAAATTCAACGGTATTTGACGTTGTTTTATTTTTTTAAATAAAAGAACACTTATTGCGGCATAACTATAATAGTTAGACATATGCTGTCGCGACACTTTTTGTAAATAATAATGTGTTCTACAAAGTTGTAGTACATTATTTTATTCTATCATAAATAGTTTTCGCAGGGCACGCGATTTAAAAAATATTTTAGGTAATTTTTTTACACCTTTGATTACATTATTGGAGTTTTAGTAAGGATCCCTAATTTTTTTCAAAAAAGATTTAAGGCCTATATAGCCTTTACAGCCTATGTCACTCGGGAATAGTGTAGCTTCCAAATAGTGAAATAATTTTTCAAATCGGCTCAGTACTTTCGGAGCCTATTCAATACAAACTACTGAAGCATGTATCCGATCGACTTGAAACTTGGCATCTATGTAGAAAATACATGTACTTAATGGATAGGCTAATATTTATATGAGTGTTGGAGTCCCTACACCAGTTGCGGGGGCGTTAATGATGAGAATGTTTGTGGGGGTGAGAAATAATAATGTTAATTTTGAATGCCCAGCGAAGCGGATGGTTACAGCTAGTCGTTTCTAAGGTTGTGATTCTATTGTCGTAACGATCACAACTAGGCAGGGCTGGACGTATCATGACAGATCGTTAACTGGACGTTTTTTACTGGTGATAGGACCTCCTGTGAGTCCGCACGGGTAGGTACCACCACCTTGCCTATATCTGCCGTGAAGCAGTAATGCGTTTCGGTTTGAAGGGTGGGGCAGCCGTTGTTACTATATTTGAGACCTTGAACTTATATTTCAAGGTGGGTGGCGGCATTTACGTTGTAGACGTCTATGGGCTCCAGTAACCACTTAAAACCAGGTGGACTGTGAGCTCGTCCACCCATCTAAGCAATAAAAAAAAATAGCCAACTTGAAATCAATTGTTGAGTACGTATTTCATTAGAAAATTTTGTACCCGCCTGCGGGATTCGAATACCGGTGCATCGCTTCAACACGAATGCATCGGACGTCTTATCCTTTAGGCCACGACGACTTACATTTACATTCGAGTCCCTCTTTTAACTGCTTTTCATAGGTATTCGCTGTAAAGTGTACTTATTCGCTGTACTATACAAATCACAGGTAAGAAATACGACGGTCCCGAGGTCGACGTGTGGTCTCTGGGCGTGATCCTCTACACGCTGGTCTCCGGTTCGCTGCCCTTCGACGGCTCCACGCTCCGGGAGCTGCGCGAGAGGGTGCTGCGAGGGAAATACAGGTACGTACACACACACACACTAGCGACATCTCTGTGTCGTCGTCTGGAACTAAATAGTTTATATCGATGTCGTTAGATGGCGTTATTATAAAATAAATTTGTAGGTGTGTTTTTATCGAGTGAATTATTGCTTCGCGTTAATTAAACAGAACGCGGTTAGATAATGAATTTTTACAAAATGTTATTTACTATGCCTTATCAATGTCTTGCCTTCTTCGTACGTGTCTATTAAGCAAAAAAAATGATGTGTCATATTTTTGAGGATTTTAATTAATAGAATTAAAATCACATGACACGTAATTTGGTATTCTTTGAGAATTGATACAAGCAATGTATATGTTACGGTAAATGTACACTCTTGGGAAATGTACACTTTTACCGGCAAATGTACACTTTTTTTTATTGCTTTGATGACTGGACGAGTTCACAGCCTACCTGGTGTTAAGTGGTTACTGGAGCCCATAGACATCTACGACGTAAATGCGCCACCCACCTTGAGATATAAATTCTAAGGTCTCAGTATAGTTACAACGGCTGCCCCACCCTTTAAACCGAAACGCATTACTGCTTCACGACAGAAATAGGCGGGGCGGTGGTACCTACCCGCGCGGACTCACAAGAGGTCCTACCACCAGTAATTACGCAAATTATAATTTTGCGGGTTTGACCTTTTCCGGTTGATTGACATTTGACATTTTCCGGTAAATGTGCATGCACATTTGCCTCCTCGTTTGGGAAATGTGCATTCAACTAACAAAGAATGCGCATGCGCACCACATTACTAGCACTTGCGATTTCGCATTATGTATGTCATGCTCACATTTACCAAAACGACATGGTCATTGTGAATTTAATGTACATTTCCCTTCTTTGATGTTAGTTAAATGCACATTACCCAAACGAGGAGGCAAATGTGCACATTAACCAGAAAATGTGTACATTTGCCGCAATATCTACTTTTACCGTAACTTATACACTGTACAGTATCGTTTTCTAATACAATTCTTTTTTGTTTTTTTTTTTTTTATAAAACTCCAGAATACCGTTCTACATGTCAACGGACTGCGAGAATCTTTTAAAGAAATTCCTCGTCCTGAATCCTGCGAAGCGTGCGTCCCTAGAGAGCATAATGCGAGACAAATGGATGAACACCGGATACGAGGAGGACGAACTCAGGCCCTACGTCGAGCCGCAGCAGGACTTCAAGGACCACAAGCGGATAGGTACGTTGTGTCNTTATAAAACTTCAGAATACCGTTCTACATGTCAACGGACTGCGAGAATCTTTTAAAGAAATTCCTCGTCCTGAATCCTGCGAAGCGTGCGTCCCTAGAGAGCATAATGCGAGACAAATGGATGAACACCGGATACGAGGAGGACGAACTCAGGCCCTACGTCGAGCCGCAGCAGGACTTCAAGGACCACAAGCGGATAGGTACGTTGTTCTCACCCCGGCCCTCCCATTCATCCCCCTATCTGCATTGTCCGCGAGTTTTAATAATTGAGAATTTGTATCTCGCAATTCGATCTAAAATAACCCTTATTGCATATAAAATTCCACTGAATTGAGTCCTGTTCTATTAAAATGAGTCTAGTTTAGGTTGACAATAAGTTAATGTATATACCAGATTTTTTTCTTAACAATTTCCAAAAAAAAAATACCTTTAAAAAGTTACACTCCGACCACTTTCGAAAAAAGGGCAATTTTTGACTTTGATATTAGCTCACGGAGACTCATACTAACCAACTGTAACTAAAACGTTTCCAAACAAAAAAAAATTAAATACATCCAAGATATATTTTTTTATGATTGGTATATTGGTCAATGTTGCTGTTTATGAAAAAAGAAAGATTTTAAGATGTGGGAAAATACTTCCCGATTATTTGATTAAAGGTTAAATAAAACATTTCAGAGCGTATGTCACCTTATCTGTCATGATACGATAAAGGACCGACTGTGTAAACGCTGCATTAGTCGATTAAAGCTCCTAACATTAGTGCATCAAAGCACAGTTTCGCTTACGTTTTGTTTCTACTTGTGACCTTTCGACTTTCGAGCGATGTGCTCACCAGCTAACATGACCGTCTTGTGTTTCATGCGTACATCGTTAATCGGGTCAGCGCAAGTTGGTACGTGATGTATTTATCGATGTCGGGGAACTATCGATATTATTTATTGTTGTTGATTAGCGTGTTAGCGAAGATGTCCCTTAGAAATTCTGTCTTGTTTATAGTCTAAGAATGACGAATGAAAATTATGATATCGAGGGCTGAAATGCTTTGGTTTAAGCAACATTTGTATTTGTAATTAAAGGTCCATTTTATTTGGTACTAGCTGATCCGGTAGACTTTGTAGTGCCTCAATCGATAAATAAAAGACCTAAAACTTTTGTATAAAACACACTTAAAACAAACAAAAGGAATCCGTCCGACGGGGGACACATCAAAGGAAAAACAAAATTGTCATTTTTATTTAATTTCAAGCATTTTCATATTTATCTAAATCCTTTGAAACCTTCTCTGGCCTTCCAGAAATAATTCAAGACTAAAATTAGCCAAATCGGTCCAGCCGTTCTCGAGTTTTAGCGAGACTAACGAACAGCATTTCATTTTTATATATATAGATAGATTAGCATCAACAGTTCGATGTTTTTAATTGAACTTCAATTAAGTTTACTCCATTCAAATAGCTAAAAGATTTTTTTTGTAATGATATTTTTTCCAAATTTTCAAACATTAAATGGGTCTCCTGTAAAGTTGCAAAAAATGTCGCTTATATCAAATCGCCTTTCATCCCTCGATATATAATAACATATGTCGGCAGGTTCGTTTGTTTGTTATCGTTTGAGGAGGGCAATATGTAACTGATTGCTTTATATCGCAGACCGCGCATAATTGTCTATGCACATAGATTTAAAAAGGCAATTGAGGAATCTATTAAAAATAGTTGTGAAATTGTAAAAAAACAAGCTAAAAATCAGTTACAATTGCCATTATATTTTTTTTAAATAGCAAATCATCATATCGGTTCTAAATTTAAAAAAAAAGAAGTATTATCATCGATAATTGATATCGATACGACTTGATTAACGTTTTGAAGTTGATAAGGATCATGTTCCAAGACCTTATATCTTAAAGTGGGGGGCAATCATTCACATTATAGGCCCCGGCGAACACTTTACATCGGGCGACCCACCGGTCAGTTCGTTTATCCGGCGATTCAAATAAAATAAAATAGAAAGTTATATTTATCTAGAAAATATTAAGTTTTGTAAAAGCTAGGTATACATTATCTATTTTATAAATTAAATTGTCGATCGTAAAAATACATATGTATATATATTCAATAATAGTAATCAAATTCTTGAGACAATAAATATGTATGTATATAAAATGAGACAGAATTATAATCGTTATTAGTGACTTTTTATTATTATTTCCGTGATGTGTTTAGTTAAAAGCACTTTTGATATAATAATTTTGTAATATGCTTATTTGTTTTAAAACAAATTTAGTAGCATGTGAGTGTTTGTCTCTTGCGTCCCCTCCGCATGTGTTTTAATTAGTTTATTATTTTTTGTCTTTGAAGTGTTTCGCTGTAACATTTTGTATTTACAATGTACTATATGATTGGTTGCCACACTTGAATGCTAAATGTCTCTTAGGATCCCTAGTTTAATTAAGGTAACCATTCTTTTTGAGAAGGATATGTTTGCTTTATTTATATCTTACAGTTTTTGAACAAGTTGCATGTTATAGTTATTCTAATATCTAGATCTAGTATGTATGTATCGTCCGGTCACGTCCGTCAGGTTATAACCTTGGCATAACCTCCTAGTTAGGTAGAATCTTAGGTAGAATAAAAAATAAATAAAATTTAAGTGTGTAATTCAGAATAGAAAAATGATATTTCGAACACCCTTATATTAATGATGTGAAGGTTTTTATTAATAATTATAATATTCTTCACGTCGAGTTGAGCTCCAATCACGATGACGTCACATCTGGCTAAACGCTGTTTATATTGTTAGCTTGTGTTGATGACCCCAAATGACGTCACACGCAATGGAGTTGTCATGTTTGGTAAAGTTCGAAATATAAAAATATATAATAATATATTTATTATTTCCGGTTTCAAATCAAATCAAAACAAAATCAAATCAAGATTTTTTGATTCAACATAAATGACAGTACATACTTGTTGAAAGTCAGAAAGAACTGCCGCCAATTCACAAAAACTAGCCTCCGTCCTGAGAAGAACTGACAAGAAACTCAGCGGGCATATTGTCTTTTTCTTTTTTCTTTTTTTTTAATTAATTTTTTTTGAATTTACTTTGAGGATCCTACTAGTTTTGTTTGTGTCGATCGATGCGATAATGTTTTTATTTCTTTTTATTTCACAGAGGCGTTAGTCTGCCTGGGCTACAACAGACAAGAGATTGAATACTCCCTGGCTGAAGCGAAATACGATGACGTATTCGCCACATACTTACTGCTCGGAAGGAAAAGTACCGATGTGAGTATGGGGTTAACTTTTGTATTTATGTGAACAGATCAACGCCCCTATTAATTCACTAAATTTCTCGCCGGATCTTCTCGACCGGTCATCGTTCTCGAGTAAGTTAACCCACAGACACAGCCCACTGAGTTTCTCGCCGGATCTTCTCAGTGGGTCGCGTTTCCGATCCGGTGGTAGATTCTGCGAAACACGGCTCTTGCTAGGGTTTGTGTTAGCAACGTCGTCAGGTTTGAGCCCCGTAAGCTCACCTAATAGTTAAGGTTACGATGAAATAATCTCTCCAGACCATCAGCTTAGGTAGGAAAAAAAAATCTTCTCAACAGGTCGCGATTCCGATCCGGTAGTAGATTCAGGGAAGCACTGCTCTCACTAGGGCTAGTGTTAGCAAATTCTCTCAGGTTGAGCCCGTGAGCTCACCTACCAGTCCGGCTCTTAATAGCCTCTTAAACTACCAGTAAATAGGTAGGGACAATGGGACGATGCTCATTGCTGCGCGTGTTTCACAGAGCGCAATGTATACGTTGTAAGCTCTCTAAGTTCATTCGGTTCGGAGAGGGGAAGGAGAAGCAGTAGATGACTGAGGCTCTGAACCCGTCTCAATTTTTTTTATTGCTTGGATGGGTGGACGAGCTCACAGCCCACCTGGTGTTAAGTGGTTACTGGAGCCCATAGACATGTACAACGTAAATGCGCCACCCACCTTGAGATATAAGTTCTAAGGTCTCAGTACAACGGCTGCCCCGCCCTTCAAACCGAAACACATTACTGCTTCACCGCAGAAATAGGCGGGGCGGTGGTAACTACCCGTGCGGACTCACAAGAGGCTCTACCACTAGTAAATGACGTGTCACGTTGCAGCCGGAGTCCGATGGCAGTCGCTCGGGCTCGTCTCTGTCCCTACGGACGTCGGCCGCCGCCAACCAGACCCAGCAGCAGCAGCAGACCAACTCGCACGCAGGTAAAACTTGATGACGACCCACGGAAAGTAGGTAGCGTCAGAAAAAAAAAACATTTTTTTTTATTTATTTTTTATTGATGCACAAAACAAATTACATCCATAGAAATTATAAGTTTAAATATTTAACATAACAATCTGGATTGCAATTCAAAACAGGTGGTGCATACAGAAAAAAATTACAACTACTGATCAGTTTATTGTACAATATTATTAAATTTATTGTAATGTTTGAGTAAAGTTGAAATTATTACAACTGATCTTGTCGCGCGCTACGTGATTTAAAATCAAGTTTTTAAGTCTTCACCGGAACAGTGACTAGACTATGCTTTTTTAAATTTTAAAGGTGTATCATTGATTTTGTAATATAAGTCGATATACCTATTTATGATTACGAGTCATATATGTTTGTAAGACGTTTGTCTAGCACCGGGTCAATTGACTAGTGTCAGTTATACTGTTTGAAGTCATCTCGCGATTGCATTATTCTAAGTAACTTAATAAATAATATATTGCAGTATTTATGTCAAAGCTGATCGATACATTTTGAATACAATCGCGTCTGTTCGATTAGATGAGGGAAATATAATTATATGGTCAAATTTAGAAGGATAAAATAATAATGACATTAATTGATATTTTCGTTTAATCAGATGAAATATCGAATTTATTTTGTCAACGGTACTCTCCCATAATGGTAATAATAATGAGTTGGTTTTGTGTTTTGACTGATAATCCTGTCCTATTTCTGTCGCGAAACAAATATGTTTTCCATTTTAAGACTATTAACGGGCCAATGTAATTTACAAGGTTTTGCCTGAAGGTGGGAGGCGGCATTGCCATTGTTACTGTCCATGCATTGATTGCGGTAACTCGGGTCTCATTGTATTTCTTATTTAAACATAGAAATGTTTTGATAGGTGATGTAAGCTGTATGTATATTCGTGTTTTTTGTAACTTCTTACAAACTTCTTGTACTTCGATAAGTCGACCGACTCATAGCCCGCCGGAGCCCATGGACATCAACAACGCCACCCACCTTGCGACATGATTTCTGAGTTTTTTTTTTAAATATATTTTTATTGCTTAAATGTGTGGACGAGCTCACGGCCCACCTGCTTTTAAGTGGTTACTGGAGCCCATAGACATCTACAACGTGTATGCCGCCCCCCACCTTGAGATATTAGTCTCAATTCCATAGTACAAACAATCTTCAAACGGAAAAGCATTATTACTTCACGGTGGTAATAGGTAGGACAGTGTTATCTATCATCGTAAGGACTCACAAGACGTCCCAACACTAAAGAAGTGTTCATAGAGAAAGAAATTGAAAGAAGAAAAAAAAACTAAGCTTTCCGACTAAAACCGTGCTTGGTTTAAAATAAAACGCTTAGTTTATATCGAAGGGCAGCTTTTGCTTGGGGTGGGTAACCTAACGTCATTTATATAAATAAAATCTTCATATTTATATACGTGTGAACGTCTGTATTGTCTACCGTCCGTGCGTCGAAGTTCGATCTGAAATACATTTAGTATATTTGAGTCGACTATTATCAAAGCCGGCAATGTGACTTTTGGACAATTATTGGTAAATCAGAAAAACGAATTATTGACTTTGTATTCCATTGGCAGTCACAAAACTCTTCTGAACGACATCTTAGATAAATAACAGGTTAAGTATTAACCTTTATTTAATGCAGGTTTTGAACCGTATTCTTTGAAGGAGACGATTATATTCAAATCAATCTGTATTGCCATATCAATAACATTTTTTTGTCCAAATGCACAGATTGCCACCTTTGATAATAGCCGACTCATATACGTGTGAACGTTTGTATTGTGTACCGTCCGTGCGTCGAAGTTCGATCTGAAATACATTTAGTATAATTATTATAATCGAATTGAACGTATTTAACACTAAACATACCATAACGGGTCAAGTGACCCATTTTGAACTACTATTGCGTTGAAAATTAACGTATCATCTTATTGCTTTTGCACATTTTGACTTCACAGATTTTAATCCTTTTTTTTTTTAAGAGATTTTATGACCTGGTAACTGGAACCTTTAAGTCATGTCTTATTTTAATTTATATTCTTAGTTTTATGGATATTATGGAGTGAAATTAAATGAAGATGATTAATTTGAGACATTAATCAACTGGGATGAAATTAAATGAAATGAAATGGGATGAAATATAATCTCAGTAAAATGGTGGTCAACTACTAAGATTTTTTCGGTGGACTTTTTGGAGGATCCCGTGAAGCTACGTCCAGCGGCTTTGTTTCATTTTCCCATATTTGTGCACTTTTACAAATATTAAACAGTTAATAAACCACCATTATTACACATTTAAACCCGAGGAAACACTAAATAGACAAAATAAAACAAATTACACAACTTCACTCCTCGCGTTCCCGCCAAAAAGTCTTGAGTAATACTTGCCGTATACCGTTATCTACCCGCTATGTTAGAAAGAGGTACCAAGTAAGTGTTGGTATGATTAGTGTTAATTTTCGTGGTTCGAAGGTAGTTTGAAAGATTTGAGACGACTCTGGTATGCTAGATTGGATACAGTTTCTCTTGCTTTCGAATACGAGTTAACTTTAACGCGATCGAAAAGTTAAATAAACTCGTACTAAGTAGACTGATATAATACTCGCTTTGTAGAAAATAAAACTGCGTTTCTTCTCTATAATTCGAAGCGAATGTAGATTTCAGTTTTAAATATTTTGTGAGTGCACACACTTTGTTCCTACTGTATCAGTATATTCGAGTTTCTTAGTCAGTTTCACTGTGTTTATGAAAAAAAAAAAATGTATTTCAGATCTTACTGCGACTCAGTATAAAATCGATATGTTAATGCTTAAAAATTTATTTATATATTTATTATAAATACATATATATAAAATATGTGCTTCATTTATCCAATCGTGAATATTTTTTTATTCTCATTATTTTTATTTACCGAGGTTATTTAAATAATACAATTATTTAATAGTTAATTTATTTGGTATAAACTTCACTTAGGTTCTCCTTGATTGAAATTGAAAAAAAAAAAAATTGGTACTTTTTTTATTATTGGCTCAAATTGTTTAATCTTGCAGTCACTTTACTCGCGGCGATGTACTCGATTATGGTCCTTATAATCAGTTAAGATACGGTTTTCATTTGAAATTTAAAGATAAATCCGGTGTTGTCGGCTCGACGGTTCAGTAAAGACTGATCGTGTGTAAGACTTAAGTGACGAGATAAATTTCCGACTACCCCACTTTTATTAACACCCTAGAATTTTGAAGGCAGGCCAAAAAAGCACGATAAATGCATTTTGAATGTACTTTTTATTCACTTATTATTATTACCTTAAATGTGTTTCTATCTCTTTCACGCGTCTATTACCTTCTACGCTTTTAAAATATAATGTGCCCTTATTTTTTTTTTATAGTCTATTTTGAAATTTCATTGATTGATGTTTCGTCACGTCTTCGGTACAATGGAATGCTATGTGTCGTGTAATGATGTGTTATATAAGTGTATTATTAAATGTTAGTACATGGCGTCGAGTGACGTGGCTGTAAGGGTTATGGCGACAGTGAGAGCGTGTTTATGTGAGGCAGAAGTGAGGCGATAGCGACAGACCAGCGATTCTGTCGCAATCAGACTACGACATCAGAGACTTATCGTTGTGAATATACATACACACACGTTGAGGGGAAACTTCCGTCGCTGTTGCTTGTTTTATCGTTCATTTATCGATTTCGAACCGGATCGTTAAAGTATTGTTTTCATATCGAAGGGTGAAAGGATTTTTGGTTTTAAGTGACATTTTTGCAACTTTACAGCATAGCGATTTAAAGTTTAAATTTTTTGGTAAAAATATCATAATATTATAAAAAAATCTTTAGCTATTCGAATGCGGTAAACTTAATTGAAGTTTTTAATTAAAAACTGTTGTAATGCTAATACCGAATAAATCAAACATTTAATTACAAACAAAAATGTGGCGTATTAAGCAAAATGTCACTTAAACCAAATACCCTATCACTTTGTCGATATGTACTCATCATCGCAGATGCGGTTTGTTTATATAATCCTGAGATACGTCTGCGGTTTTATTATCATTCAGATACTGGAATTACTGTTATCGTTTTGAGATCAATTCTGGCCTTTCGCCTCGAGATGAGTTGCACGATTTTCGTTGTATGGGCTAAGGTTGCGTGCACACGGCATTGTCCTGCACGTTTATTTGCAGTATACGCCTTAACGAATGTCGAAAAAATAGAAAATAAATTTTAATTAATTTGAATTGAAAATAGTGTAAGAAAAAATGATTTTATTGTAAAAAAGCATGGGGTGCTTTTCAGGATATTATCAAAATAACCCTTCTACTCATATCTGTTCATAACATATTTATAACTACTGATACCATGCACCCCACGCTTTTTTTACAACAAAATACTATTTTCTTACACTATTTTGAATTCAAATTCATTAAAATTTATTTTCTATTTTTTAGTTGGATTTTCTATAAAAGCGTTAGTTTTTTTAAACTATTATTCATTTTAAAATTTTTAGTTGAATTTGTTCAATTTTTTTCCAAATTTCCCAAAATTCGGGTTAATCCGACGTTTTGAACCCAAGCTCAGTTTTTGAAGCCCACGGTTCTTGGTAGAGTACCTACGATGAATGAGATCCGGTTCGGTGTAGACACGATGAACGATAGACCAGGGGACAGTGTGTAAAGGGCGCGTGTCGCGTGTAGGGTCGGGCTCGCCGTCGCACCGCGGCGTGCAGCGCTCCATCTCGGCGAGTGCGAGGCCTCAGCCCTCGCGCCGAGCCTCCTCCGGCGCTGAGGTCCTCAGGACCCAAGGTAAACTCTGTTCAGAAATCAGTAAAAAGACGCAACGCACACTAACTAGGTACGGTACATACGTATTTGTGCACGTTTGGTTCGATTGAAAAAATATTATATTTAATGCATACTGTTTCTAATCACACACACACACACACGCACACACATACACACGCACACACGCACACATACACACGCACACACGCACGCACACGCACGCGCACACACGCGCACACACGCGCCCATGCACACAGACGCGCACATGCACACACAAACCGCTTTTACAATTGTAGCTACTACTACCACATACACATATAGTTCAAATTTCAACATTTAATCTCACACATTGATACATTAAACATTTAAACTAACGTTATTATGAATATGTGGTTATCGGCTTTTTCTTGTCAAACAGAATTTCCTACTCTAATAATAACAAAGATACATCCTCTAACCTATTCGTTCACTCACACATACGCAATCGCTCAACTTCGGTGTTGTAATAATTAACACACAATAAGATTTGATACAGATCACCTGATTATTGTGTAACTCGACTAATCTATACAAAAAAAATAACACATAGTTTTTTGATGAACCTTAAAAATGTCATTTAAACTATTTCAATCTATGTCCGTAAGCTTTCTACGAATCGTAAAGTTAATTGAATTAACATTATTATAAAAAATAATAAAAAAAAAACCATGTCTATAGAAATTAATTGCATTTTTTTGGGCTTTTATAATATATATGGTGGAAAGCTTAGTTAGTTCTAAGCGATACAGACGTTAGCTATCTCATCGTCATCATTCTAACATACGGCGTGTGACCGGTAATTGAATAATATGTTATATCGAAATTCATATACAACATATTGTATATTATATAACACCCTTACAGTCATTGCGCTCGACTGTGGGGTATCCTTAGATAGCATCATTATAAACGTGTTAAGACGGGACAAGGTATTTTTGTGTTTGTGCTTATAATTTGAGTGATAATTGATAACTTTTAGAATACATTACAGTTTAAAAAAAAAAAAAAATGTTTATATGTGTGGACGAGCTCACAGCCTACCTGATGTTGAGTTCTAAAGGTGGTAGGACCTCTTGTGAGTCCGCACGGGTAGGTGCAACCACCCTGCCTATTTCGGCCGTGAAGCAGTAATGCGTTTCGGTTTGAAGGGCAGGGCAGCCGTTGTAACTATACTGAGACCTTAGAACTCATATTTCAATGTGTGTGGTGGCATTTACGTTGTAGATGTCTATGGGATCCGGTAACCACCTAACACCTGGTGGGCTGTGAGCTCGTCCACACATCTAAGCAATAAAAAAATTAGTTTAAATAAAATTATATGGAACGCTTTAACTGTATCGGTTGTTTGAAAGTTTTAAGGGTTAAATAAATTTTGAAGTCTTTAATAAAAAGTAACACCCTGTAGCTTAGTTATGTGTTACCACAAACGCAAAAATTCCACCGAGTCTACTGCTCTAGTAGCTAGTTGCCTTCCGTCATTACTAGCTGGAAAAGTTGTACAAATCATACAGTAGTATAGTGTAATGTTATTTATCAATAGTAAAGTACAGTGTTTCCCAACCTTTTTTGTGCCATGCCCCACTGTGACATTTAAATTTTTTTTATGTCCCCCATACATAATTTTTAAGATTAAAATATTCATTTGTTCACTTGAACTAAAAGTTACCGAAAGAAATCACTATGAAACTGTTATCAAAACACACATATTTCACAACACAACAAAAAGACTTAAATTCAAATTCAAAATAATTTTAATACAGATTCTCTATATTAATTTAGTGCGATTAGTCCCCCTTAACTATTAAATTGACACCTTGTGGGGCGTGGACTCCACATTGGGAAACACCGATACAGTGAATAGTATAGTATATATCAGAGGGTAAAAGGTTATTTGTTTTGAGCGACATTTCGCTTAAAACGCGACATTAATCTTTGGTAATTAAAGATGCGTTTTATTTTGTGACTAGCATCAACAGTTCGATATTTTTAATTGAACTTCAATTAAGTTTACTCCATTCAAATAACTGAATGAGGTTTTTTTTGTTATAAATTTTCCAAATTATTCTTATAATGTTGCAAAAATGTCGCTTAAGGCAAATTAATACCCTTTACCTCTCGAATAGAATAGAATAGTATAGTATGAATATTAGTGTTATATCATTAACGTTATCTTTATTCTAAAACCAGTATGATAATATTGTCCGCGATGCTTGTATGTGTTTGTATGACTTTGTCAGTTAGCGATTAGCGTGCTAATGTTTTTATCTGTTTAATAGACTTTCTAAGTATTTTAGATGATGGTAGTGAATAGATGTGTTGTGGTAGTCTTTTTGTTTTGCGTGCCCTTTGTAACGTAAGTGCAGTCGAATTAATTTTGATTGTAAAAAGGAAACTTTTAGAAGTTATTAAGCTATTGCATAGCTTTTATCGCGGGCTTCGAGCGCGGCGACCGAATCAAGAAATTCCGTAACGAAATTAAACCTAACACGTCCCACTTCGCCTATCGTGTAGCTCGCGTTCAACACATTCACACGTTGCGCTTGTGTAGTTTTTGTGAATAAGCGCGCGGCGTGACGTCGCACTGCATCATGAAAAGTCTGTCCATCTCTCTCTCGCGCGGTCTAGCTTATGAATGTGTAGGGGACAGTTAATGTTTTGATTTTGTTAATATTTATAAATGAAGCGTGGTCCTATTTTATTATTATTTTAGTATTAAATTATTATTGTCTAATTATAATTGCATAAGTTGATAAAAAATGTTATGCAATAGCTTTACCGCGGTCCCACACACGTGTTTTTTTTTTTCGTTTTGTTAGTTGAAGCTTTTTATGGAACCACAAACACACTCTTTGTTATAATAATCATGCGTATCGTGCTTACGTTAGGTATGTATGTATGCTGGAAGCGTCGCTTATTAAGCTTGGGAGCGCGCTGAGACGTGAATAACATTTTCTTTCTTCTTTTTTTTTTTCAAATATTTTTGCTACACGAATCGTCGTAACTAACGAATAACCGCACGCGAATCACTTTAGTGCGCTGCATTCGCGCAGTTTGCATACTCGCCGCTAGATGTCGCTGTTTGTTTGACAGCGTCGCTCAACAGATGACGCCACTTGTACGTTGTTGCGGCGAAACTGAAGCTCGTTGTATAAGTTGCTCTCGTGTTTCAGTTGGTACGACGACGACCGCGTCAAACAGTACGACTTCAACGGCGACCACTACCGCTTCTAATTTCAAAAGACAGGTTTGTTATTTTTTTTTTTTTTTAATAAATTGGTCGTGGATGCTTCGGCCATCAAATGTCATTTAAATGTCATTGAATTAGATCGGTAAAAGTTGAAATGAGAATTTTGTTGTCTATGTAATAAATTAATTAAATATTTTTTTGGATGTTGTGAGGAGCTTTTAGATTAGATTATTACAACTAGTATTCAAAAAATAACACTGAAAATCGACCACATAACTGACAACTTAAGATTGTGATTCATTTATGAGCTGCAATTAATTTTGTTTGTCTCTGTGTTTTAGTTTTAAAGTTATAGTTCTAACTTTAAAGCCCGGTAAATAGGTAATACACAAAAAAAATAAACTCTGTGGACAAACAGAAGAGAAAACGGTTCTCAAATGTTATTATGTCCATGCCTGTATTTGGTAAATACACGCTTGAATTTTTCAGAAGGGCTTTGTCGAATTTTTTATTATTTAAGATTAGAAGTTATAATGATATTTCGTTGAGGTATGTTTCATGTTTGGTCGATGGGGACAGTCGTTGAACAATATAATTGACCTCATGTCTCAAGGTGGATGGCGGCTTTCACGTTTTGAGGTCTATCGGTCGCGCTGACTGCGTAGTAAAAAAACAAGTTTGTCGAGCATAAAGAAAATGAATGTCTAATTATTTGATTTTAATTTCAAAACAACTTGAGTCTATTCATTAGCGATTTCTTTAAGAACAAAACGATGTCTCCAATGAACACTAACTCAAAAATTTCAAATTTTCGTTTTTCACGCAAACGCTACACTATTTTAAAAGTATTACAAATCATTATTGATGGGGTCCGAAGCAAGACTAAATCAGCTAGTTACACAAGAAAAAACCATAACTATATCTGCAATTTTTTTATTTTATTGCTTAGATGGGTGGACGAGCTCACACCCCACCTGGTGTTAAGTGATTACTGGAGCCCATAGACATCCACAACGTAAATGCGCCACCCACCTTGAGATAGAAGTTCTAAGGTCTCAAGTAAGTTACAACGGCTGCCCCACTCTTCAAATCGAAACGAACTACTGCTTCACGGCAGAAATAGCCAGGTTGGTGGTACCCACCCGCGCGGACTCACAAGAGGTCCTACCAGCAGTAATTACGCAAATTATAATTTTTGCGGGTTTGATTTTTATTACACGATGTTATTCCTTCACCGTGAAAATCAATCGTGAACATTTGTTGAGCACGTATTTCATTAGAAAAATTGGTACCCGCCTGAGATTCGAACACCGGGTGCATCGCTCAACACGAATGCACCGGACGTCTTATCCCTTAGGCCACGACGACTTCGAATAATAAAGATTGTGTCCACTTTTTTGTTTAAACGCTCCCCCTGTGAACCTACGAATTTGGAGTTAGCGTAGTGTTCATTGGAGGCATGGATAATGTACATTCAGGCACGAAATTCGATTGTTTTTAATATTTTCAGAACACAATCGACTCGGCGTCGATCAAAGAAAACACAGCACGGATCGCTCAAATGCAAGTGAGTTGTTCATATACATCGTGTTATATTCCCTAATAAACAGGGTGATGTTTTTGTATTAAATTTTGTTCTACTGTAAAATAATTATTATTTTGTACAGTCGATGCGACGCCGAATGTAAAATACCTTACAGGGGCACTAAAGCTCGTCGATGTGACAACATGAATGCCGCCGCTCGCCTTGAGGTCGATGCTTCAGTCGTATTGATAACGACTGTCTCACGCTCCAAATTTGAATGCTAAAGCTCTCCGTGACCTGTCACTTTACTAGCAGGGTGTCGGTACCTTCAAACCGAAACGCATTACTTCTTCACGGCAGAAATAGGCAGAGTGGTAGTACCTACCCGCGCGGACTTACAAGAGGTCCTACCACCAGTAATTACGCAAATTATAATTTTGCGGGTTTGATTTTTATTACACGATGTTATTCCTTCACCGTGGAAGTCAATCGTGAACATTTGTTAAGTACGTCGTATTTCATTAGAAAAATTGGTACCCGCCTGCGAGATTCGAACACCGGTGCATCGCTCGCCGCGAATGCCCCGGACGTCTTATCCTTTTGGCCACGACGACTTCTAATAAAGGCTATCTTATCTTATCTTATGTGTTAAACGAATCGTTTTCGCTGTGAAGGTACAAAGCACGACTCGTCCGACTAGCGCCCAGCCCAAGCTGGAACCGCGGTCCCGCACCTTGACGGGTGGTGCGCGGCGCTCCCACGCCAATTACGAGCCGCCCGCGCACGCGCCCAAACTGTCGCCGCCGCACGACGCACCCAGGTACGCACGCGCTCTCCCCCCCAACTACACCCCCTACCGCACCCCTCTACCGCCTACTTCAATACCTATTTTTCCGTTGGAGTTTTTGGCGGGCACGCGAGGAATGAAGTTGTGTGATTTGTTTTATTTTGTCTATTTAGTGTTTCTTCAGGTTTAAATGCGTAATAGCGGTGGTCTATTAACTGTTTAGCATTTCTACATAACTACCACAAGCACCGGTCATCGGTGCTTGTGGTAGTTATAAGCACCGTTAGTGGATCGGGAGGATCCGAAATGACGTGTTTTGGGCGACGTCGACTGCTTTCCGTTTGGTCCGCAGGATCGGGAATGACAATACTTATCTCCTATCTCAATTGTATATTTATGTTTTATAGGTACCTATTTTAAGTATGTTTTATAGGTATATTGTTTATTCTTATTATGTGTATTTATATGTATGTATGTGTGTATGTGTGTATATTATATATTTATTTCAATTGATTAGTATACCGCGTGAAATTCGTTTCCAAATGATTAATTTTCACCAGATGGTTGTCTGCTCTTAGCGATAAGACCGCTAATTGTACTTTTTTTGTATTTAATGTTTCTCATTTTTTTTCTCTACCAATATACACTTATTATTTAACGTTTCAAAATATACATTATCTATGTATTCTATATGTATGACGGAGGACCGTGGTAACAGAGCATGCTAGGGCTAGAATAGACATAGCGTGACCACTAACAGCATGCTACGGATTGGGAACAGCGCGGTGGTGCAGGAGACGAAGGGTGGCGGCGGGGGCGGAGGCGTTGGGGGAGGAGGTGGTGCCAATGGAGGGGGCGGGGGCGGGGCGAAGACGCACGTGAAGAGCGCGTCCGTGTCTTCCGCCAGCGGAGTCCCCCCAGCCTCCGAGCCCGCGCACCATAACGCGTCGGCGCGCGACCTGGCGCAACCGCGGCCCAGGTACACACGCGCGGGACCACAACCACAGACGCTTGCCGCACGCTTTCACGTCCCACCGAAAGGAACCTTGAGTCGAAACCGTAGGATCGAAATTGCTTTAAAAATATATAAAAGACTAGCTGACCCGGCAGACTTCTTAGTGCCTCAATCTATACTTACTATTATAAAGCTGAAGAGTTTGTTTGTTTGAATGCGCTAATCTCAGGAACTACTGGTCCGATTTGAAAAATTCTTTCAGTGTTAGATAGCCCATTTATAGAGGAAGGCTATATAACATCACGCTAAGACCAATACAAGCGGAGCACCAATAAAGAATGTTTCAAAATCGGGGTTATTTTTACCTTTTGAGAGCTTCCGCTGCGTGCGCTGCAGAAACGGTTAAAGTTTCGCTAAAATAATGTATGACAGAATTGTTCCCCCTTAAAAAATCAAAAAAAAAGTCCGCGACAGTATATGTCTATATGTTAAGGTTGGCTCACTATAACGTTTTTTATGCTAACCAAATTTGTTCTAAAATAAAACATTATTTGTGAACTATACCACGCGGACGTCGCGGGTAAAAGCTAATCGATAAATAAAATACCTAAACTTTTGTATAAAATAAACTTAAAACAAACAAAAGGAATCTGTACGACGGGGACCACATCAAAGGGAAAACAAAATGATTATTTTTTATTTAATTCCGAGCATTTTCTTAATTATCTACCTTTTAAACCCCTGGACTTCTGGCAAATAATTCAAGACCAAAATTAGCCAAATCGGCCCAGCCGTTCTCGAGTTTTAGCGAGACTAACGAACAGCAATTAATTTTTATATATATAGATATATAGATGAATTGAATAATGCTGTCGAAAATGTACCATTCATTCACTAAGGGACGTTTTTGATTCGGCCAGCGAGTTTGCGCTTTTTTGTTCGCTCACGATACGACGACGCTTCTGTGACATTATAGCGTCTGTGGTTTTTTTTTTAACTTCTCTAGAACTTTCGCTCTTGCTAATTGGCAGTTTTTTTTTTGTTTTGGAACGCAATTGAATTCGTTTTGTTTTCCCGCCGCTGAGACGCCGTGCACCGTTGGTTTTTTGTTTTGTTTTTTTTTTTTTCAGCTTGCGTTTTTTTTTTTTACATTTAAGCTATGAAATATTTAGTTTATGCTTGTTATTACACAGTATGCCTAATTAGAATTTCACTAATTTGCACCGTATTATTATTATTATTGTTATTCGTAAAGCACTTATATTAATATTTATTTTATATATTTTATTATCTTATTATATTTATGTATCGATTTAGTATTCTTAGTGTTTTATTATACAGAAAAGGTAGTTTTAAATCACTTGACGACGAGAAATTATTCTAAAAGTTTTATTTACCTCAGTCGTAGATTCTATGTTATGTCCGCAAGATTTACTGTTTTTATAGGTCGACTACCGTACAACCCATCTGATAGTAAGTATTGTATATAGCTACCGTCGCTCTCTGACATCAGCAATGCCTTGATGAAGTTGTTTGAAGAAAAAAAAAACGTAATTTTGTATGTCGCGTTACAGTTTGAACACGCAGTTGACAGTGACTGGCGCCAGTACTGGCACCGGCTCGGCTGCGAGTGCGGCCAGACGCGAGTTCCCCAACCAGCTCGTCTTCCCCAGGAACGTACCTTCGCGCTCCACCTTCCACTCAGGTGAGGACTGCACACTAGACTTCTTCAGTGCGAATGAAATTTTATAAGTTTCGATGAAATTACCGTCGAAAATAGTGAAAACTCACAAGTGCTCACGAGCGCTCAACAATCGCAGATGTGCTAGCGTTGCATTATAGAACCCGGAGATAAATTTACTGTATTGTTTAACTTTCAAAATCAAGTAGTGACAAAGTTGACGAATGCTCACGAGTGCTCACACTTGATTTGTGATTGACCGAATGTCCGCGGCGGTGGCGTTGCAGGGCAGACGCGGTCGCGCGGGGCGGGCGGCGCGGCGGGGTACGGGGAGGGTGGCTCCCCGCACCAACCGCGGCCCTCATTCTTCTCCAAACTGTCCTCGCGGTTCTCTAAACGGTAAGCCAAGCATCTCATTACGTTACCCATCGACCTGTGACCTTTTCCTTTTCGTAGGATGACGTGCGGACAAGGATCCCGTGAAAAAATTAATGTTTTTTTTTTCTCTATTGAAGATCTGTACATTCTGAACGAAGGCTAGTGATAAAATTAAATATGGAAATTGAAAAAAAAAAAAACTGACAGTACCGCACGCCAAACTACGAAATTGACAGCTGTCAATCATAACTAACATGTCATCATATTATTTATTATGAACACGATGATTTTTATTTCTCGTACACAAAAAAAACACATTATGCCTAATCGAATATAATTAACAATTTTATTTATGTGGTGTCTATTTGTATAAAGATGCGTAAGGGTATACCGATAGCCCCACCCCCGCACCCCTCATTCACCCCCTTCCTACACCTTTATAATATAATTTCAAAGTTCGTTGTGCTTTCAAAATCGCCTGCTGTGGTAGACATGAGTACGTGTAAGCTTTGAGGTATTGTGTTTTAAGTAAACATATGTACGATTAGCGCATAATGTGCTAACGTGAACTTTGCTCACGAATGCTAAAGTGGTTTAAAATAAATAAAAACGCAATGCCTCAAAAGACATCATTGTCGCGAGACACACGAACGCCAAGCCTTATGAAAATGTTAGAAGTGCACAGCTTTCGCCCTTTGTTCATGTCATTGTCATTGTCATTACATTGTTTGTTATAGAAGAAAAAAAAAGAATTTTTTTTTTACAAAAATCCCGATTTTATTTAGGTACTCTTCTGATTATTTAAAAGGGTTGTGGAGTAAGACTCGTGATATATATATATATATATAAAAAAATAATTTAATAAATATTTATGATTTCCTAACCGAGCTCTTTGAAAGTGTTTGTCTCTCTCTCGCTCTACATTGTGCCGTCTCTTTCATTTCGTTTCCGAAGCGAAGTGTGTGTACACAGAACGCTGTCATTTCTAGCATGTTCCCTCTGTCCGTCTATTGATCTGTTGTTTCCTAAATGAAGCGGTCGCGTCACTGCGCGTGTGACGATGTGTAAATAATCAAAAAATTTAAAATTTTTTTTGAATTCCCTTGTAGGCAGACGAGCATACGGCCCACCTGATGGTGAGTGGTTACCGTCAGGGGCATAGCCAAGCCGCTGCCTACCGCTATGTCATATAACTTTTGATCTTATTTCTCTCATCGAACACTCTCAAAAGAGCATCTGAAATATTCCTACACTACACGTGTATTCCTTTTTTGTTTTTTAATTATTATTTAAATATATTTTTTCTTAATTTTTACTTGTAAATAATAATAAACACAATGAACACACACTACTATTTTCTAACTTTATTAACCCGTTCTTTTTATTATTATTATTGTTGTTGTATATGTGTGTTTATTTATTATTATAGAACGTATATTTTTTTTTGTTATTATTTTATAAATTCATCGAAATTGTCTCCCTCTCAACATTCCGAGCTCTTTTGTTTTTTTTTCTTCTGTTGGTATTTTTAATGTTTTTTCGTTGTCAAGTCTCGCGTCGACACAGGGGATGCACGATGCTCGAACCTCCTTATCTCCGTAGACGAAAAGCTACATTTTTTTTTTAAATCTAGACCGAAAAGCAAAGACTTCCCCGGTTCTCCCCCCACCCCACAAAAAAGCCTAATAAAAAAAGTCAAAGCATGATGCTGTCCCCGATCTTAAAAAGCGCTATTTTATTTATTTAAACTTTTTTTTTGTTTTGCCAAAGAGTGTGAGCTACTTTTATACCGCGAAACGCAACGCCTAACCCGCTTTGAGTGTTGTCTTTAGTTATCTGTGCAACAGGAGACCGTAGTGTTGGACGTAAGTATCCGATATATCTCTCTGAACGTGTACGGGATTGTGTAATCGATTATTATTGATTATCGATTAAATGTTTCGTGCATCCCCGTGTTGCGATTAATAATAGTAATTTTTTTTCTTTTTTTTTTGGTTTTAATATCGTTCTATCCCGATCTAACCGGTAAGCTTGTTCGAAGGAACGTCGGACGTTCCTATATTCCCTTGGATCTATCGATTATGCTTTCGATGTTTTATTTCTAGTCTATCCACAACCCTGAAACGTTTTTTTAACTTTTTTTTTTTGCAACGTGACGAAATGTATTTCTGACTTCTTACATTTAAAAAAATTGATATATACTTACATATATATAAAAAAACGGAGGGAGCTATTTTAGTATTGTGCATCTCGTGTTGCCGGGCGAGAGGATATCGAAATATATATATAAAAACAAAAACGTAAACAAAAAAAATCGATTTTTTTAAATCGATTATGAGTGAACGTGCGTGACGTTTTTTTTTTTTCAATTATTTTTGTTGATTACGTAAAAAGTGAGCCGGAGCGAGAAGGGGGGGTCGTTTCGACGAGATTGTGGTTCCGTCGAAATGTTCATCAGTTGCGTTGTAATGCAGGTTAAATCAGAATCCGTGAAGTGACGCCGCCAAGATGGATCCAGCACTATACATTACGGAGGAGATCATAGTTCATTAAGACAATTAATAAGATTACACGATGAAGATTCAATATCGATTCGAACGTAATCGATATTACGATATAAATATATATGATATATATACATATTTTATATTTTGTTCAATCAACCGAATGAATAAATAAATAAAAATAATTTGCATAAATGTTTATGTTTAATGATGACGTAGTTAAATTTATAACGAAATTTTTTCTTTCTTTTTTGCTTTTCCCTTGTGATTCAATAAAGCGAAATTCTGTAATTTAAGTTTAATGACGTTTATAAAATTTGTTCAACTCTGAAAGTAATTGGAAAAAAAAAGTTTAATAAGAAAAATGGCGACGACTTTTCCTACTAAGCGTTATTTTACAGATGAGTGATATAAAAATGTCAATGTTATCCTTTATTTTACTAGCTTTTGGGCAAGAGAAATTAATTTAGACTGCCTACTTCAAAAAATAATGTCGTTTCTTTTTTCTTTTTTCTCACTCGATTCGCTTTTATTTTAATTAAGAAGACTATAAAAATTATCATTTATGAATCATTGTTTTGATTTTTTCACTCATTCACATTTCAAACATATTGATTGTTTAACGTTGAGACATTCGCAGCGTTTCCGAAAAATATATCAAATATCTTAATATCTAATAATATAATAGTTAAATTTATAATGGAAATTTGTACTATATTCTGTAAAATAACATTAGCGGGAAGCTAGTCACGTCGCCCGTTGCATTTTCATTATGATTAGTTGTTAAGGACTCATAATTAGTTCGTTTCTTCATTTACCATATCGACGCTTGAAAGGCAAACGTGACTAAGCGACTGCGTGAACTTTACAGTAGACTAATTTAAAGTTGAAATACCTGAAAACAAAATTTATTTTAACGAATCTAGCTAGTAGCTGTAGGATTGAAATGATTTTAATAGACTTAGAAATATATATTTTTTGCGCATCGAATATGGTTATTGCCTATCATTTATGTACAAAGCATTTATTGTCGCTTAGTCACGTTTGCCTTTCAAGCGTCGATACGTATTTACAAACATTCCATTTGTCCGAATCTGATTTTTTATTTTCATTAAAGCACAAATTCTCTTCGCGCAAGCGACGCCTTAAATCTACCCGCAGTTTATTTTACGTGTGAAAACATTTCAAACGACTGAAATATTTTTTATATTATCATGTATTGTATAAGCATATTCAGTGTTTATCTTAAAATGGGCCATTTTGGCTAAAAATTTTTTTTATTTCTAATAAATAAATGATTACGTATAAAATTTGTTTAAAAAAAAAAGACAGTGTTTTTTATCGATAATAAAACAATTTTCTGCCTTTCGTCGTGTTTCAATGTACAAAAGAACAAGGTCCGCGATTTATTATAGTGATGTTTTTAAGGCGAGAGAGTGAGATCGTTAGTAGATAGTTAAAAAGTAATTTAAAAAAAAATATATATAGTCGATAAAACTCAGCCCATCCCTAAGCTAGGGACGATACTCAGTAGCCGATATCACCGTAAGGTAGCTGTTATATAAATTATTTTGTATGAAAACAAAATTTTATAACGAAATATTATAGAAGACATATTTTTCTCGTTTATTTTTTTTTGTCATAGAAAGATAGATTAAACTGGTATGTAAAGATGTTGTTGATTTATTAAAATCTTCAAATTTTCGAGTCGATAATAATGTCAAGGTTAACTTCTCAAATTCATAGACAACTTGCCACAGATTAAAAACGAAAGTTTAAAATATTACGTCACTTCAAAGTTATTTGTCGAAACACGCCATCTGTCGTCGATCGGTGGTACTATGAAGTGTCAAAAGCTGAAAGCATTGCTTCTCTGACATGAGCACATGGAATAACACGTAGGGCATCTCGTGAGCACGCACGGGTGGGTACCACGGTCCCGCTTGCTTTTGCCGCGAAGCTCTTAACCTGAGCAGTTAAACTGAGTCTCCAATCAAGTGACTCGAAATTAATGATAGTATTCACGTGGTATTATCTATGATGGACTCCGGTAATCAGTTATCACCTATTATCCACATATTGATTCAATAAAAAATATGTAAAAAAATATATCGGAATTCTTAATTGTTATATGTTAAAATAAAAATAGGTCTGTGACGTAAATTAAAATTAATTATTCAAAATTACATTAAATAAAGTTTGTTATATCTCTAAATATGTTTTGATAAGTTATCAACATTATTGAAATTCGATTTGAAACCTCATTGTAAGATCCCGATTTCTTGTAATTTTTAAATTAAAACAAACAAATCATTAAAACATCTTTACGTATCGGTGGTTTAGTACAATTCGTAATATTTAATGCACGGGAGTAACATTGAAAAAATTTTTTCATGAAATACAACATACCTATGTACAGATAACTTTCCTATAACGAGGTAATTTTACAACGCGGTTCTACTCTTAATGCGAAAAGAAAAAAATCCCCTAAACCCTATTATTATAACACGATAAGGA